CGTCTTGGAACACCAGAAAGCCAGGCCGCCCATTCCGAACCTCGCGCTCCAAAGCGTCGATCCGAGCCTCCGGACAAGCAACGCCCTTGCAGGGCGCCTGGTCCCCCCAGCGTTGCAACCAAAGCTCGCCCAGCATATATTTGTGGTGCCTGTAATCATCCGTCCCGAAAGCAAGTGGAGCCCCTCTGTCGGGAGATTGGGCATTGGCCTCCACGTGGATGTCCAGGTTCTCTTTCAAACCCTGGGCGAATCCTTCGCGCCCTTCGTTGGCCACGCGAAGAGGCGGCCCGACCAAGCACCCCTCCTCGTTTAGAATTGGTAAGACGGCGGTCTTTGGCGCAGCAGGCTGGGAATCCTTGACGCGTTTTGCGGCCTTGCGATGCCCGTCGACCTTATGCGCCCTTGTTCTCTTGGCCACGCACTTGCGTAGCTCCAGTACTTGCGGCGCCACCCGCAGCCGGTGGAAGTCGCGCACCAGGCCCCGCAGCGTCGCCGAGGCAGGCACAAAGGACAACCAGTATTGCAATACTAGCTCGCCGTGGGGTTTCAGGTGCGCGCTGTCCATCGCACGCCCTTGCAATCTGCTCATGTATGCCGTGCGGGCCGACTCTAAGCTGCGAGTCTGCCGCAAACTCTGATACAACGTGGCAATGAAAGGAACGGTGTGCCAGACCGTTTTACGACCGCTACCATGTCCGCGAAATTTCCTTGCACTGGAGTTCGTCTGGGCAGCGGCGCGGGCAGGGAATGCCCCATTGGCCTCGAAGTGGCGTCTGACGTCCTCATCACCGCAGTACTTTTTCTTACCACACCCCAAGCGTCGGACGTCTTGCCGAAGAACCAGATGGACACGGGTGGCATCGAGAACAGCTGTAGGGCCGCACCGTCCAAGTGATATCGGCGCAAAGCGTGCGCAGCCGCAAATGCAGGCAGGAGGAAACGCCAGCGGCACTTCTAGCCCCGCCCACTTGACGCAGCTAGCCGACCTGTCCAGCACAGGTGCAGAAGGCGCTGCTCCGGCTCCGCCCCGCTCAACGCCAGGCGTGCATCGCCTCATATTGCGAATCGCATCTTGTTCTTTATTTTGAAGCAATCTTGTTCCGAAATGGTGGTTGATCACTTTGGCGGCTCCCCCCTTGACCACCGCAAGCATCTTCATGGCGCGCTTGGAGCGAGGCAGTCTGGCGAGCAAGGGGTTCGACATCTGATGGCCAGCGCGTTCTCTGACGTTCACCCTGCCCAGGCGCGGTAGCAACCGCGGCGCCTTCATCAAAGCACCGCCAGTCATGTGCCTGCCCCGGCGCTCTGGCAAAGCAGACTCCTTGGCAATTGCCATCCTCTTGCGACCCTTCCGGCGCGCTGGCGGCTGAGGGCCCATGGGTAAAGGCATCGAGGTTTCGCATGTCTGCGCAGTCTCGTTGTGGGCCTCATCTCCCCCATGCACCAAGCGTCGCAACTCTTCCACGCCGGTAACCCTGAAAGGCGACACCATGAATGCAAGGATGTGGACACGTGGGTTCGTTGGACGCCGCGAAATGAGAACCGTCTCCTTTGAGCCAATATGTTTACAGCATTGCGTATGACTCGCTAGCGCAACTGTGCGTTAGAGCCGAAGACTTCGCGGAACCCCACATCAAATTACATTCGCCAAACAGTGTTTGCCTTCAGTGAAGTCCTACTTGTGCTGCTAAGAATTTGGATGGATCCTGCAAGGTTGCGCCACCTTCTGGGCGCAAGCTATGGCACGATCTATTCGACGAGTGCGGCGATGTTCCGCCACCTTCCAGACGCAACTTTTGGCGCAACCTATGGCGCATCCTCTTCGACGGGTCCAACGAAATTCCGCCGCGTTCAGAGCGACGTTCTGGGCGCAACCTATGCCGCAAACTTTAGCACCACTTGGATTGCGCTTCGTATATGACACATCCAGACTGCGGTAATTCACCGTTCGAGGTCCACGCTAGTAAATATGACTTGTCCATGTGATGGCAAACCGCTCCGGTGCATCGTCGTCACATACTGTCTTCGTATTAATTTCGTGCCGCGAGAGATGGGCGCGCGCCACCGCTGCAGAACACAACTTCGCATAGCACGACATTCCAATCACCATTGTAATTTCGGCAGCCCTTTGGGAAAAGGTCGCGCACTTTTGCTTGTCATCCTTCTTCCAAAAACCTTGCCTCCTCCTCGTCGTGGATGGGAGCATGACTCCTCCCTTATCTTCTTCCTCCTCCTCCGCCTCTTACCCGCTGCATCCTCCTCCCCCTCCCCCCTTCCTGCTCAGACCCCTTCCTCCTCCTCATCCCCGTCCTCCAAGCAGAGCCGTCAGAACTGCCAAAGCCAGCGGAGCCGACAGGGCCGACAAGGACGGCAAGGCTGGCAGAGCCTGCAAGGCCGGCAAGGCTGGCAGGGGGGAGAGAGCCGGCAGGGCTGGCAGGGCCGGCAGGGCCAGCAGGGCCAGCAAGGCCGGCAGTCCCGGCAAGGCCGGCAGGGCTGGCAGAGCCGGCAGGTCCAGCAGAGCTGCAGCAGAACCGGCAGGGCCAGCAGGAGGACTGGCATCGCCGGCAGGGCCGGCAGGGCCGGCAGGGCAGGCAGGGCTGCAGGGCCGGCAGGGCCGGCAGGGCCGGCAGGGCCGGCAGGGCTGGCAGGGCCGGCAGGGCTGGCAGGGCCGGCAGGGCCCTGCTGGCTCTTGCTCTGCCGGCCTTGCCGGCCCTGCCGGCCCTGCCGGCCCTGCCGGCCCTGCCGGCCCTGCCGGCCCTGCATGCCGGCCTTGCCGGCCTGGCCGGCCTGGCCGGCCCTGCCAGCCTTGCCAGCCCTGCCGGCCTTAGTATTACCGGCCCTGCCGGCCTTGCCGGCCCTGCCGGCCTTGCCGGCCTTGCTGGCCTTGCCGGCCCTGCCGGCCTTGCCGGCCAGCCCGCGGTCATCTTCAGTCTCTGTTTTTTTTCTTAGTCTCTTGGGCCATCTTAGGGCCATCTTCGGCCGTCTTGGTGGGCCCCTGGCCCGTCCGACGCCGTCGGAAGCCCTTTGGGGGGCCTCTCTGAGCCGACTTGGGGCCCTCCTGGAATGCTCCAGGGCCGTCTTGGAGGCCATCGTGGGCGTAGAACTCAAAGTCGCCCATGGGCGCACTGAGCAGGGCGCCTTGTGCTTGAATTTCTACGTCAAGCACCTTGGGCGCCGTGGGTTCGCCGTCGGAGGGTTGCTATAGGGGAGGATGACCACACCGAGGCATCCATGCCTTCGAAGGCACGCGTTCACCGCGCTGCCCTTTGGGAGGCTGCGACTCCGAGTTTCAACGGTGCAGGCGTCTTCTCGATTGCAGAGGCAACCTTCTAGTGTTGACATGCGTGCGGGGTGAGGGCAATGCGCACCGTTTGCGCAAACGGTGTTTCTGTTTCTACCATGAGAAAAATGTGCCGCATGCGGCGTCATAGATCAACGCAGGCGTCGTCACGACACGAATCTTCCCCGTATACTGGCTTCGTGGGGGAAGTCGCCGCGCTGTCTGGCGAGGGCTTTTGCGCAGGGCTTGCCCATGCATGCCGCTCAAATGGGCCGGAGTCGAGGGTGTCAGCGGGGTCGGTCGGTTCGGTTGCGTCGCAGCCGAGTTCGATCCGGCCGGTCAAAAAGCAGACCACTTCCGTAGCTCCAGGCCGATCTTCTCGGGTCGGCGCTCGACAACCTCGGCGGCTTCGGCTTGGATCCAGGATCGGGGAGCTTCTTGGATCCAGGTCGGGGAGCTTCTTCGTGGTCGAGGCTCGCCGTGGTCAGACGGGCCTCCTTCAGTACTTGTTCCGCGAACCTCGGTCGCGCAGAGGTGTCCTGAGGCAAGAGATGGCGCTGGAGGGGTTTCTCTGTCGTCTGGGGGCACCCAGGGCCCTCCCTGGGCCCTGCAGAACCGCCAAGGGAGAGGCGGGCTCTGCGCCCGGAGAGCAGCCGTACCGATCGACGATTCAGGCAACTCGACGGGCGGCGGGGGTAGGGTTCGGAATTCGTCAAGCACGTGGTGAAATCCGAACCCTACTACCCCCGCCTCCCATCGATTTAGGAGCATCGATGGTTGGTGGGGTTGGGGCTCGAATGCCGCCACCCAGGCATGCTCACAGGGGCCCTCCTGCTTTTTGTTCCTATATTTTTTGCAAAAAAAAGACGGAGAGCTGGTCCTGGGGGAAGGCCAATCATTCAGGACTCAGGACCCGCTTTCATGCCAAGGCGACTCGGAGGCACCCCCGGCACGGGCGGTCAAGCTTGAACGCCGCCACTTGCCCATCATCGGCCAGCATGAAGCGATCTGGCGATCGGAGAGCCGCGATCGTCAAGGTTGAGTGATGCAATGCGGCTTCAGACCGTAGCCATTGTCGCTATTTCACGTGCGTGCACACACCATCCTTTGAGACTGGACCTGCGCAGTTCCCTCTCACTCGGACCTCCGGCAGTTGGGATGGCGGCGACCAGGAGTGCACCATGGATCGTGTACGTGGCGCTACTGGTTCAGGGCGTATCAACCGCGGCTTCCATGATGGTGAGCGAGGGCGTCCATCGCGGTATCGACCCGCACAACGCTTCGCGCACTAGTGACAGTATGAAGGAGGTGCATGAAGTGCAGGAAGTGAGCGGGATGCCCGCGCAGCGTTCAGCTGGCCTACCAAACTACAGTCTTGAGGATTCAGCCATTGCTCACTTGCGGTAGGAATAGTTGGTGGCCCTCGGCACAATTACCGATCCAAACAGACGATCCAAATGAGTGGGTATTGGAGAGACCAGGGTTGGGGGGCTACAAAGGCAAACAACCTGTTGCTTTGGGTCGGAGGTCGTAAAACTAAGGTGTGGCACCTCATATCCAGAATTCGGCGTTATCGTTCACAGCAGGACAAATGGCCCGCCGCCCTCGCATCTTGCAGGATCAAGTACGCTGTCTTACAACGTTGGCTGGGAGGGGCGAGCACTGTCTTTAACGTCGAATGCTGGCGTGAAGCCTGAAAAGTGACCACAGTTACGCCCAGCCCGACGCCCTACCCGACGCCCTACCCGACGCCCTACCCGACGCCAAACCCGACGCCGAATCCGACGCCAAACCCGACGCCCTACCCGACGCCCTACCCGACGCCCTACCCGACGCCAAACCCGACGCCGAACCCGACGCCGAACCCGACGCCCTACCCGACGCCCTACCCGACGCCCTACCCGACGCCCTACCCGACGCCCTACCCGACACCGTTTCCGACGCCCTACCCGACGCCCTACCCGACGTCTTTCCCGACGCCATTTCCGACGCCCTACCCGACGGCGTTCCCGACGACTTTCCCGACGCCATTTCCGACGCCCTTCCCGACGGCCTTCCCGACGCCGTTTCCGACAGCTTTCCCGACTCTCTTCCCAACCGGCTTCCCGACGCCGTTCCCGACGCCCAGCCCGACCCCCAGCCCGACGTATCCTCCGGGCTGGCCGACGCCGCATCCGACGTTTCTTCCTGGAGCTCCGATGGCAGGTGGAGCGGGCGCAGCCGTGGCTGCCACTGGCGACCCCCACCTTCAGAACGTTCTCGGCCAGCGGTTCGACTTGATGAAACCAGGAAGGCATGTTCTGATTATTGGGCTTACGCCACACCGCCGACGGCGGCCCTGGTAGAACCCCCCTCCCTCCAAATCGACCGGATCCGGCTCCCGGGGGAGGGGATTGGGGAGGTGGAAGCATCTCACACGCCGATGAACACCAAGGGGTCGGCGGATTAACATCCCCCGTGGAAGGCGTTCCAATGCAATGCTTCGCGTGGAGGCTGAGGCGCGGCAAGTTGGAGGGCAGTGCGCAGACATGTATTTCCACGAGCTGAACATCACAGGTGCGTGGGTAGAGGCGAAGGGAACCGACGGTCTCCATTTCCAAGCCGAGGGTGCGCGCGACGAGCATCCGCAGTGGTTAAAGTTTGGGGGCGTAGAACTCAAAGTCGCCCATGGGCGCACTGAGCATGGCACCTTGTACTTGAATTTCTACGTCAAGCACCTTGGGCGCGGTGGGTTCGCCGTCGGAGGGTTGCTTGGAGAGGATGACCACACCGAGGCATCCATGCCTTCGAAGGCATGTGTTCACCGCGCTGCCCTTTTGGAGACTGCGACTCCGAGTTACAGCGGTGAAGGCGTCTTCTCGATTGCAGAGGCAACCTTCTAATGCTGGCATGCGTGCGGGGTGAGGGCAATGCGGCCCGTGTGCGCAAACGATGTTTCTGTTCCTACCACGAGAAAAAAGTGCTGCATGCGGCGTCATAGATCATCGCAGGCGTCGTCACGACACGAATCTTCCCCGTATACTGGCTTCGTGGGGGAGGTCGCCGCGCTGTCTCGCGACTGCTTTTGCGCAGGGCTTGCCCATGCATGCCGCTCAAATGGGCCGGAGTCGAGGGTGTCAGCGGATCTCGGGAGCCTTGAGACGGGGGTCAATGCAGACGGGGGTCAGCCAGAGCGCCGGATCCTGCAGGATCATGCGAAGACCCCGTCTGGCTGACCCGGGTTAGCGAGCCGCTCGTGGCCGCGAACTCTAAAGTGAGTTGGGATACAGGCGAGAGGTAACGAGCGTGTGTCCGCGGCCGTTTGTGCTCAAACGGCCGGCCGCCCAAATCTGATTACACCTCAGCGCGAGGTGTACCATTCGCCATCGAGACCGAAAACATCCTTCGCTTGAGATGGCCCGTCGCTCTCGCGACGACCTACTGCTGGGATTGTCGCTACTACGATATAACAGAGCTGGAGCTGGGCTTCGCTTAAGGCGAAACTGCTGGTTGGGCCTCCCAACCCCTGTCAAACTTGGTAGCGGAGCTGGCCTATGGTGGTCAGCTCTTGCTCTACTCCTCACCATCCACGGCGCTATGTGGTGGACTGCTGACGTGGTGGAACGTCAGGGTGCAGTGGGTTTGCACGGAGGAATGTATACAACTACGGAACATCGCAAAGACACTTGCAGTGATACCTCTGCCTACGCAGAGGCCTCTTACTCGTGTCCTACATCCCTGCGCTACTGCACTCCTGAAGTCCAAGCACCTACTCCAATTGGAAACTTTTTCGGTGACATAATGCATGGAAACATGCGATACGACATTGCACCGCCTCCACCCCCACGCAGGCTCACGACCACATACCGCAACCCCCAACCAACCACATCCGACCACAACCTGCGAGGCCATTGGATTGGTATTACTATCTTTGGGCTCGCATGGGTTGCTATCGGGTGTGCGGTGGGACATATGCGTGGCGGAGACGACGCAAGAACGACCGGCCCCCATTGGGACCCGTCCGGTCAAGTACCTTTCCGCGAATTCGCTCGCGAGGCGCATGCCTGGATCAACGTGACCACAGGCAACATGACGCCTTCCCAACAAGTTGCAGCCTTGCAGCGTTGCAAGATGAGAGTTCCCCCCGCAGTTATCAATTTCGGCGTTAACATAGGTGGCCGCTATACCAGTGGCGCCACCGACATCATGTTCCTCGTACGTACGAAGTTCGAGAACCTAGAAGAGGAACGCCAACTCAACTCTGGTACAGCTCTCATTGACTTCCGAGTCCAATGCGGGAGAACGGATCGACCAGACCCTGGCGCGCTTCGAGATAGCCCGCTATGAAGCTGAAACGGCAGGCTTTAACATCCCCAACTTCCAAATTCAAACAGTCATTTCATTCAGAGCCCTTGGAGTGGGGACGTCACGTGCACAACAACTCCTGTAACCACTATACCACCGCATGCCGAGGGGCCAGCCACAGTTTGACTCTCTACTTGAACGCATGAGGTCATGTGCTCACATTGCTGAGACAACCCTGGCAATATTGGTGGTATCTTCAGTCACGGCCACCGAACCGAGACCTTCCATGTTGAGGCAAACGCAGGGCATTCTGCTAATAACGTCGGGATGACGATCCGCAACCGACAGAGAACCGGCCACACAAACTCGGCAATCAGAAGCGTGGAGATAATCAACCTGGCCACAATGAGAACGATCTAGATAGACTGCTGAGCATACCATCGCGGGGCGAACCTCCATATTGAAATTGTCGAGAACTTCCCACGTGTCCCGCCGAATAATGGCGAAATAGCGGTGGCACCCCGCGGACTCAGAGGCCACCATTCCAGCGACAGGGGAGGAAATAGAATTGATGCTCCTCGGGTTATTGGCATTCCGACATACATGGAATTGAGTGAGAATGATTTTTTGCGGGGGAACCCGCGAGATGCCGGTGATCTGTCTGAAGGCGCCCAGTGCGAGCTCGGCCACAGCGAAGGACTTCAATCTACATTCGTAGCTTCGGACCGCCCCATGAGCCGCCAGGAGCGATCGGCAAGCCGCCCGGCCTGGAGACGCAGGTATCGCGCCGACGACGATGACGAAGAATGGGAAGATGACGCGCGTCTGGCACGTCGCGGTCGGGCCCGCAGCGGCTCGCCCGACCGCGCGCGCTCGCTCTAGCGGCCTCCAGCGCCCTCGCCCCCCTGATGCGAGGAAGCCAAGGAACCCTCCATGGAAGGACAATAGACCTGGCGCCCCCCCGAGGAGGGGGCGCCTGCGGGGGCGCCCGCTTCAATGGGGGGGAGCCTCGCGAAGAATATCCAGAAGACGAAATACAGCGCCTTGTGGGCTACTCGGATGCTGGGTTGGCTCGTCAGCGCATAGACCCGTATACAGTGCGACACTGGTTGAACGAGGGTTGGACAGGGCCCGCATTCGTCATTGGTAACCCCATGCCCCCGATAATAAACCCTAAGGGGTAATAAAGTTCGGGGTTTTCGGGGGGATCATAATAGTTGCCCGCCAGAGTCAGCGCGTAGAGAGATCAAGCTGCCAGGGGGAGAAGGAAATCCAAAGAACATGCATATATGTATAGACATACACATATATATATAGATGGGAAAAGAAGAAGAGCAGGGGGGCAGGGGGAGGAGAGAGGAGCGGAGAAGGAAGAAGCGAAAATCCAAAGTTCAAAACTTGTGATATTTAATGTGTAAGCGCTTACTGGAAATTAAGGTTTCCATCTGCTCGCTCTGCCTAGTTCCCCCAGGATAATCAACCGCAGCGATAAACAAGTTCAGGGGGCAGGGAGACAAGAAGAAAAATAAGTTGAAAGAGAGAGAGAGAGAGAGAGAGAGAGAGAGAGAGAGAGAGAGAGAGAGAGAAATAAAGAAAAGAAAGAGCAGAAGGATGAGAAGGAGGAAGAGCAGGGGAAGCAGGGGGAGAGGAAGAAGCAAACATCCAAAGTTCAAAACTTATTTAATTTATCATGTAAGTGCTTAATGAAAATAAATATTTTCATATGCTCGCGCAGGGTAGCGCGCGCTTAGTTCCCCAAGGATAACCAACCCCAGCGATGAACAAGTTCAGGGGGGCAGGGGGGCAAGAGGAAAAATAAATAGAAAGAGAGAGATAAAGAAAGAAGAACCGAAACATGATAATGATGAGAAGGAGGAAGAGCACGAGAAGCATGAGAAGGAAGTAACCTCGATGGCGAACTTTCCCAGTGATAATGAAGTTCGGCCTCCGCGCCCCCGCGCCCCCGACCAAATCTCACTGGTCGGCGATAAAAAACTCTAACTACTTAAGGGGGGGGTGCATTATGATCGTGGGTATGGGGTTATGCTCTTCGCAATGTTGACCAAAATGAAAAAGGCAAGGTCGTTCGCCCAAAGAGGGCAGGGGCTGTCAAAGCACAAGAAGCCCTTATAAAGCGCGACCTCAAGAGGGCCATCATCGAGGAACGGAAACTTTACAGAGGCGTTGTTTGCACGTGCTTCGAGCATGCCGGCCGCGGGCTCGGCTGCCCCATGAGACGCCCATCAAGGGGCCCCAACTTCCGCGAGACACCGTGGGTCTGGTCTCACAGCGATGGTCGGGGTTACTGAACCGATCCGAATAAAACACCATACAACGAGCAGTTGACGGAAGACGACTACGAACAAGCTACAGCCCAAGCGATATCTCAAGCTGTTAAGATGCGGAAGATCTTTCACCTGTCCATCATTAAAGTAGATTCAATTACGATTGCAATGCGGTGAAGCCTGCTTCGCCCAAACCAGAAGGAGACGACCAGCAACAAGAAGATGAGAAAGCTGGGGGCATGGCCGCAGCGGTAGACCTCCTGAAAGCAGCTCCTGCAGGATACGCCTCGGATTACTCCGACTCCCTCTCCACTGTCACGGACGTCCATTACGACGCGTGCACCTCCATTGACCCTATGGACATCGCCACGAAAGACATGGACCTTTCCCCAGGAAGAAGAGTCGTCTACCGTGCTGGATCTGCAGGTTGGGTAAAGACCATGATTAAATGAAGGTTGCGCGCTGACAAATATGACCTGACCGTTAGGGGCGAGGCTACTATCGGGGATGTGGCATCCAGAAAGCTTGACCGGGAGGACCTTCACCCTGGCAGAGGGCCCGTGCGCTATGGGCCATGGATGCCCGCAGGGGCAACGCCAAAGGCACGTCCTGCCAGGCCGAAGGCGCCTCTCCGCCACCGGCGGGGCCTGCCCCCGCCCGCAGGGCCGCTGTCGAAGGAGCAGTGATGACTTGCTCGACGCGCCCCCTCAGCCGCTCCAGCAATGGCTGCAACCCAGCGAACTGGGGCCTGCGCGATGAGTCTTCCATGGCGTGTGCAGCCAATGTCAGCGCTTGCCGCAGTCGCGCTTCAAGTCGGTACGACGCCAACGCGCTAGTCTCCCCGTCAGGCACGTAGGCCGTGCCTCGTATGAGAACCACGCGGCGCTCGGCCAACGTGCGAGGCGGCACCTCAAGGACTGACACCTGGTACTCGGGCAATCCAGGAGACGTCTCAGCGCGCTGGACGCCCAGTGAAGCGAGGGCGCGGTGGCGCGCGCCCTGGGGCAGGCCGCCCCGCCGGCTCTCCATGAGGGCGACCTCGCGCCCCACGAACCACTCCCTCAGCGCGCGCGTGGTGCGCGGCGCGAGGCGCAGTGCGAAGTGGCCCAGAATGTCGGCCACGGGGTCCTGTCGGCGGCGACGACATGGGCGAATGGCCAAAGGGGGGGCGATCCATGTATCCAAAGGCCCCATTCGTTCAGTTGTCGGCGAAGGTCCCGGGCGAATGCGTGCAACGCTCGTCCCTGGGCTATCCGCCTTTGTCGTCGCACCCAGTCCTGGCGACGATCGAACGCGGCGCCTGCGCCCCCGGCGGGCGGCGCCGCTGCGGACGCCGCCTGGCGCAGCACCTCCAACCTGTCGAAGGCGCTCTGTTCGAAGGCTTCCTGGCGCACAAGCAGCCGTGGCTCGCGGTCGCGCAGCGCAAGCTCATCGCGCCCGGTCATCCCCGGAAGCTCGCTGCACGGACCAGGAGGCTTGAGCCAGATGCGTCGCAAGAGAGGGGAGAGAGAGAGAGAGAGAGAGAGAGAGAGAGAGAGAGAGAGAGAGAGAGAGAGAGAGAGAGAAACAAAAAGAAGAGAAGAGAGAGAGAGAGAGTGCAAGAGATAGAGAGAGAAGAGTGGAGAGAGAGATAGAGATAGAAACAAAAAAAAAAAAGAAAAAAAAAAAAAAAAAAAAAAAAAAAAAAAACACGAAGAGAAGAGAAGAGAGAGAGAGGAGAAGAGAGATAGCAGAGAGAGGGAAGAGGGGGAAGAGAGAGAAGAGAAGAGAGAGAAACGAGGTGAACTGCGGGGCGGGCCGGGCGGCCGGCCCGCGTCATAGGCGGGCGAGGTCGGGAGAGCGGAGCCCCGACGAGGGGGCCGCGCGCGCCGCGAGAGCGGGGCGCCGATCTATTCGCCCAGCGCTCGCCCCGCTAAATGAACGCGGGTCCACGGAAAGATGCTGGTTAGGCCCTATAGCGAACCGCAAAGGGGTCATGTGTTGGGTCATATTGGACCCACCTGGGATGTCTCAGGCCCTCGCGGGCCGTTTGGGCCCCCCCCCCCGCATGCCCTGCTGATCTCTCCGGGCGCCGGCTCGACGCTAGACTGGGATATCCCTAGCCGCTTTGGCTGCGGACCCCCTTTGCGGCCTATATGAGAGCCAGGTCGGGGCCGCGTTGGGCCCTTCTGGGATGTCTCGAGCCCTCGCGGGCTCTCCCGCATGCCCTGGAGCTCTCTGGGCACTGGCTCGGGGGTAAGAAGGCCATCTATTGCCGACCGGATGGCAATCTGGAGCTCCCCGGCAATGTCGCGAGCGGCGTTTGGCCGGGGCCATGGAGCCCCTATCCAGGCGCCAACTCACTGAATCCAATGCGGAGGCCTCCCGCTCGCTGGAGCTTCCTTGAAACGATGCGAGCAGCACCTGGATGGGCCCCTGGGCCCTGGGCCTTGGCCAAGCGCCAACTTGCAGAAATCGACGCGGGAACGCCCCCATTTCGCTGCAGCTCCCCAGCAAGGGCGCGAGCGGCATCTGGATGGACCCAAGGGGGCCGCCCACGCGCCAACCCGCGGAAATCGACGCGGCGGCGCCCCCCGCTCGCTGGAACTGCTCGGCGAGGGTGCGAGCGGCGTCTGGATGGGCCCTAGGGTGCCGCCCAAGCGCCAACTCGCAGAAATCGGCGCGGGCGCGCCCCCCGCTCGCTGGACTTCCCCCGCAGGAGCGCGATCGGCGTCTGGATGGGCCCTACGGGCCCACCCAAACGCCAGCCCGCAGAAATCGACGCAGGGGCGCCCCCCGCCACTGCCCCCGCCGGGGCGCGGTCGGCGTTCGGATGGGCCCCGGGGGCCCATCCAAACGCCAACTCGTCTGGATGGGCCCCGGGGGCCCATCCAAACGCCAACTCGCAGGAAGAGATGCGGAGCGCCCCCTGATCGATGGACCCCCCTCGCAGGGGCGCGAGCGGGAACTGAGCGTCGATTTCTGAAGCGGATGCGGCAGCGGCCCTCGCTCGCTCGGGCCCCGTCGCAGAACGCAGGGGGCGGTTGGCCAGGGCCGCCACGGCGAAGCCCTTGCTGCATATTTCTGGGAAAAATCTCGGCGGGCAACCGACGGGGCCACTGAATCCCGCGCCTAGTGGCGCGAGGGCGACTGTTCGCATCATTTTTGTCTTGGTGAAGCGGCGCGCTCTAGGCCGAGCCTGGGCGCGCCCCGGCGCGCGCTGGGACGCGGGCGCAAGTGCGCCCGAACAGTGCGTCTACTTCCTCTTGCGCGGCGGCTTCCTCGCAAGTTTCCTGGGAATGGCCTTGCGCAAGTCGTCGAGGTCGCCCTGCCGCAGCCGCGCCAACTCTTTAGCATCTGCTTCCTCGAACCACCGCAAAGTCTCCACCATGATTGCGATTTCCTGAGTGGCCTTATCTTTGCCGTGAGCCAAAACGGTTTGAAGAGCGGCATGCGAACGGCGGCGCGCCAAACAAGGCGCAGGAGACAACATAGTCCATTGCGCATCCGAATAAGCTCGTCCCCCTAGCTTTGGTGATCTGACCAGCCCTGAAAATACTGATGATCTCGCTGCACAAAACATCTAGGTCCGTGGTTCCGCTCGCCAGCTCCAAGCCCACCGCGCGGGCGCACCGACACAGGTAGGACCAGTTGGCACAACCCTGCAAGTAAGTCTTGTCCTCGCGTCGCTGGAATAATTCCAGAATGGCAGGTGTCACGCAAGGATGCGGGGCCCCTACGGGATTCGGCGTTGCCGGCTCGCCTTCTCTCTCGCGAGCGATGCCGACGTTGCGTCGAGTGCCGGGCAATACCTGCGTGAACCAGTCCTTCACCTTCACCACTTCGGCCAGGTATTCAGCCTCGTCGTTGCAATGCCACGGCATGGCGTCAACGTGGAGCTCCGTTGACAATTCGTGGGAGATGCGCTCTATCTCCCCCCACGGAGGCACACAGGGAAAAAATATCCAACCATCGCTTGGTGAACAAGACACTTGGATGTCGAATGAAAGCCTGCGCATGCGCAATTCCCAGCTCGTGCGCCGCTTTTCCATCGGTGGCCCTCCACGTCTTGAACGCCCCGTGGCTCAACGTGGCGGCGTTCAGCAGAATTGGGCGCGCAACCTCTGGCAGGGGAGCCTGCGGAGGGCGCCTCGCTGGAACTGAAATGCCCTGGAAATCAGACCGCGAAGGCGCGCTGAAGCGGGCCTGAGCGGCTGCGAACGCCCCATGCAGCAATGGGGAAGACGTGGAAGCTTTCGGCGCGTGGTGCGCGAGGTCGAAATCCAAGTGCTTCACGTCTTGGAACACCAGAAAGCCAGGCCGCCCATTCCGAACCTCGCGCTCCAAAGCGTCGATCCGAGCCTCCGGACAAGCAGCGCCCTTGCAGGGCGCCTGGTCCCCCCAGCGTTGCAACCAAAGCTCGCCCAGCATATATTTGTGGTGCCTGTAATCATCCGTCCCGAAAGCAAGTGGAGCCCCTCTGTCGGGAGATTGGGCATTGGCCTCCACGTGGATGTCCAGGTTCTCTTTCAAACCCCGGGCGAATCCTTCGCGCCCTTCGTTGGCCACGCGAAGAGGCGGCCCGACCAAGCGCCCCTCCTCGTTTAGAATTGGTAAGACGGCGGTCTTGGGCGCAGCAGGCTGGGAATCCCTGACGCGTTTTGCGGCCTTGCGATGCCCGTCGGCCTTATGCACCCTTGTTCTCTTGGCCACGCACTTGCGTAGCTCCAGTACTTGCGGCGCCACCCGCAGCCGGTGGAAGTCGCGCGCCAGGCCCCGCAGCGTCGCCGAGGCAGGCGCAAAGGACAACCAGTATTGCAATACTAGCGCGCCGTGGGGTATGAGGTGCGCGCAGTCCAAGCGCCGCCCTTGCAATCTGCTCATTAATGCGAGGGACCGACTCTAAGCTGCGAGTCTGCCGCAAACTCCGATACAACGCGGCAATGAAAGGAACGGTGTGCCAGACCGTTTTACGTCCGCAATCACGTCCGCGAAATTTCCTGGCACTGGAATTCGCCTGGGCAGCGGCGCGGGCAGGGAATGCCCCATTTGCCTCGAAGTGGCGTCTGGCGCCCTCGTCACTGCAATACTTTTTCTTACCACACCCCAAGCGTCGGACCAGTATTGCAATACTAGCGCGCCGTGGGGTTTCAGGTGCGCGCTGTCCATCGCACGCCCTTGCAATCTGCTCATGTATGCCGTGCGGACCGACTCTAAGTTGCGAGTCTGCCGCAAACTCTGATACAACGTGGCAATGAAAGGAACGGTGTGCCAGACCGTTTTACGACCGCTACCATGTCCGCGAAATTCCCTTGCACTGGAGTTCGTCTGGGCAGCGGCGCGGGCAGGGAATGCCCCATTGGCCTCGAAGTGGCGTCTGACGTCCTCATCACCGCAGTACTTTTTCTTACCACACCCCAAGCGTCGGACGTCTTGCCGAAGAACCAGATGGACACGGGTGGCATCGAGAACAGCTGTAGGGCCGCACCGTCCAAGTGATATCGGCGCAAAGCGTGCGCAGCCGCAAATGCAGGCAGGAGGAAACGCCAGCGGCACTTCTAGCCCCGCCCACTTGACGCAGCTAGCCGACCTGTCCAGCACAGGTGCAGAAGGCGCTGCTCCGGCTCCGCCCCGCTCAACGCCAGGCGTGCATCGCCTCATATTGCGAATCGCATCTTGTTCTTTATTTTGAAGCAATCTTGTTCCGAAATGGTGGTTGATCACTTTGGCGGCTCCCCCCTTGACCACCGCAAGCATCTTCATGGCGCGCTTGGAGCGAGGCAGTCTGGCGAACAAGGGGTTCGACATCTGATGGCCAGCGCGTTCTCTGACGCTCACCCTGCCCAGGCGCGGTAGCAACCGCGGCGCCTTCATCAAAGCACCGCCAGTCATGTGCCTGCCCCGGCGCTCTGGCAAAGCAGACTCCTTGGCAATTGCCATCCTCTTGCGACCCTTCCGGCGCGCTGGCGGCTGAGGGCCCATGGGTAAAGGCATCGAGGTTTCGCATGTCTGCGCAGTCTCGTTGTGGGCCTCATCTCCCCCATGCACCAAGCGTCGCAACTCTTCCACGCCGGTAACCTTGAAAGGCGACACCATGAATGCAAGGATGTGGAACCGTGGGTTCGTTGGACGCCGCGAAATGAGAACCGTCTCCTTTGAGCCAATATGTTTACAGCATTGCGTATGACTCGCTAGCGCAACTGTGCGTTAGAGCCGAAGACTTCGCGGAACCCCACATCAAATTACATTCGCCAAACAGTGTTTGCCTTCAGTGAAGTCCTACTTGTGCTGCTAAGAATTTGGATGGATCCTGCAAGGTTGCGCCACCTTCTGGGCGCAAGCTATGGCACGATCTATTCGACGAGTGCGGCGATGTTCCGCCACCTTCCAGACGCAACTTTTGGCGCAACCTATGGCGCATCCTCTTCGACGGGTCCAACGAAATTCCGCCGCGTTCAGAGCGACGTTCTGGGCGCAACCTATGCCGCAAACTTTAGCACCACTTGGATTGCGCTTCGTATATGACACATCCAGACTGCGGTAATTCACCGTTCGAGGTCCACGCTAGTAAATATGACTTGTCCATGTGATGGCAAACCGCTCCGGTGCATCGTCGTCACATACTGTCTTCGTATTAATTTCGTGCCGCGAGAGATGGGCGCGCGCCACCGCTGCAGAACACAACTTCGCATAGCACGACATTCCAATCACCATTGTAATTTCGGCAGCCCTTTGGGAAAAGGTCGCGCACTTTTGCTTGTCATCCTTCTTCCAAAAACCTTGCCTCCTCCTCGTCGTGGATGGGAGCATGACTCCTCCCTTATCTTCTTCCTCCTCCTCCGCCTCTTACCCCCTGCATCCTCCTCCCCCTCCCCCCTTCCTGCTCAGACCCCTTCCTCCTCCTCATCCCCGCCCTCCAAGCAGAGCCGTCAGAACTGCCAAAGCCAGCGGAGCCGACAGGGCCGACAAGGACGGCAAGGCTGGCAGAGCTGGCAAGGCCGGCAAGGCTGGCAGGGGGGAGAGACTGCCCCGCGCTTTGTCGGAATTGAAAGATTGAGCCCGCCGCCGCCCCGCATTCAGGGTTATCGTCATTACAGACGACTACTACTATCATCGTTATTATTCGCATGAACAGTAACATCATAAGAACAACCCTAATCACCAACAGCATCATCATCATCAGCATCATTAACATCGTCATCATCACATCATCATCATAACCCGCACCATCGACATCATCATCATCACCATCATCATCATCGTCATTGCTATTAACCGTCACCATCATCATCAACATCAGCATCCTCATCATCATCAACATCAGGATCATCACCATTCTCATTATCATCATCATCCTCATCCTAGTAGTAGTAGTAGTCGTAGTAGTAGTAGTAGTAGTAGTAACCGTAGTAGTAGTAGTTGTAGTAGTAGTAGTAGTAAGTAGTATTAAGATATAGTAGTAGTATAGTAGTAGGTAGAAGTGAGTAGTAGTAGTAGTAGGAAAAAGTAGAAAAGTAGTAGTAGTAGTAGTAGTAGTAGTAGTAGAAGTAGTAGTAGTAGGTAGTAGTATAGTATAGTCCGACGCCGGCCCGCCGGCGCTGTTGGCCCTCGAGGTGCAACAAACTAAGACACCCTAAATTTGTTTTTTTTCAGTTTCAAAAAAAAAAAGCCCGTTTATTCGTCGACTTTTTCGGCCCCTCGGCGATGGCGAAAAAAACAACAGCCCCCCGAATAACTTAAAAACATAAGGGCCCCGCCGGGGCCGCGGCGGGGACAAAAAAAACAAATCTTGGGATGGCTGAAGAAGTGGCGGCGTCGGTCGGCGGCCGGGCGTGGCGTCGGCGGCGGGCGCGGCGTCGGGCGGCTGCTCAGAACCTCCGGGGAGGGGGAGGAGGAGGAGGGGGAGGAGGAGGAGGAGGAGGAGAAGGAGGAGGAGAGGGAGGAGGAGAAGGAGGAGGAGGAGGAGGAGGAAGAGGAAGAGGAGGAGGAAGAGGAGGAGGCGGAGGAGGAGGAGGAGGGAGAAGGAAGGGGAGGCGCCTCAGGGACTCCTCAAAATCAGCCAGCGTGTCGTCCTCCGCCTCCGCCTCCTTCTCCGCCCCCTTCTTCTCCTCCGTCTTGTTATTCTTCTTGTCCACCACGGTCGCCTTCTTGGGAGGGGGGGGGAAAGAAAACGAGGGGGGCGGGGGGGCCCTCCGAGGAAAAAGTGTCGGCGCCCAGCGGTCTGAGCGGAGGGCCCCCCGCCCCCCGCGCCAACATAGATTCTTAGGCTGAAGGTCGGGGCGAGCCAATTGTGCCCTGGACACGGCGGGGGCACAATGGCCACCCCCGCCATCTCCAGGGCACAATTGGCTCGTTTCCTACATCCAGCCCCAGACATCCTAAACAAAAGATAAATTAATGCTCAAAATTTGGGTTCAGGGGGGTGGGTGAGGAGACTCACCCACCCCCCTGAACCCAAATTTTGCGTTCAGGGTCCAGCGGATCTGTTTTTCGGAGGTGGGGGCATCGGCCGGGGGGGAAGAAGAAGAGCCACGTCGTTGTTTGACCTCGTTCTTTTCCTCGTTTCCTCCGCCTCATCCTCTCCCGCCCGCCCTCCTCCTCATCCTTCTCCTCCGCCACCTCCCCCTCCTCCTCTTCTCCCCCCCCCTCATCCTCCTCCTTTTCCTCTTCCTCCTCCGCCTCCGCCAACTACTACTACCGCCCAGCACTGTTTACCATGTCACCCCGCGCCTTCGCGGCCGACCGAACAACGCCCTGCACCGTCTTGCTGCGCTTGATAGGGCTCTCGTGGGTCAGGTTCACGACGCCGTAGCAGCGGCGGCGTGTTGCTGCTGCCGCTGACGACGACCCTGGTGATGATGATCCCGCTGCTGGCCCCGCTGGTGATGATGATCCCGCTGCTGGCGGCCCCTCTGCTGGTGATGATGATGCCGCTGCTGCTGTGTTGCAGTCTGATGGCACCGCTGGCCGTGATGCTGCAGCTGCGTTGTAGGCCGGTGACCCCGCTGATGTTTCCGAAGCTGATGGCGCGCTGGCTGCTGATGTTCCCGCTGTGCCGGCGGCTGATGCTCCCGAAGCTGATGGTGCGCTGCTGGCGGCTGATGGTCCCGCTGTGCTGGCGGCTGATGTTCTTCCCGAAGCTGTTGGTGCGCTGGCGGCCGATGGTCCCGCTGCGCCGGCGGCTGATGTTCTTCCCGAAGCTGTTGGTGCGCTGGCGGCCGATGTCCCCGAAGCAGCTGCTGGCGCGCTGGAGGCCGATGCCCCCGAAGCTGCTGGTGCGTTGGCGGCTGATGTCCCCGGAGCTGTTGCTGCCGCCGACAAGGGATTGGAGGCTCTGCTGTCTCGTAGGCGGCGCTCCCAATAGCTCCAGTCCACGTCCTCAATCGGGTGAGTTTCCACAGCTTGCACGCTCTGAGGCGCGGTGTACAAAGAGTGAAGGACGTCCCATAACTCGTCTCGCAAAGAAGGCGAGTTCATGATTTCATTGAAGAGATTACAATGCACAGCGCTGCAATAGAACAATATGTCCGAACGCGCAGTCTGGGGCGTCAGCGGCTTCACGGCATGGGTGTAAATCCCCCCCTTCTTCTTGTCGGTCATGGCCCCGCAACAACAGCCCAACCAATTCGCGATGAAGAAAGAATACAGCGCCATGGAAATTCCAGACACCATTGCCTGGGCGATATGGACGTCCAGAAGAAATACCTGGACTACTATGATGATATGGAACGTGAAAAAAAACGATGAATCTGCCGCTCGAGCCCGGCGGCGCTTCCCGACCAGCCGAGCGGGTCCGCGACTCAAAAAAAAAAACCCTCACCTTTATTTCTGGGGAACGGCTGAGGGGGGTAATAATGACGGGGCGCTC